CTGTGAGATCTCGCGAGATGCATGAACGATGCGCATCGACATCTGCCGCAGAAATCAAACGATTTGATTTTGAACTAGAATTTCTTTATTTCGTAGCTCACATCGACTGGCCGATGTTCGACAGAGGAATATTGCTTCCGAATACCCTTACTTAATCGAGATTGCCTATCATCAAATGTGGACAGCACATTATTAAGCATGGAAATGTCCCCGAAATACTTTCGCGTTTGTCGAATCCCACGCGATGTTTGACGCGACTACGACGCTATGACCTTTGTTTGTCCTGTTTTTACGTTCAATTTCACGCATAACGTGTGATTCTCGCAGTGAACGAAATTTGGTCTATTAGGCTTGATGGCATGCAATGGTGTTAAAGAAAGATGTGGGGCAGTGAAACATGTTTATAATGCTGAAAGTCAAAACATTGTGATTGCGTTAATCATATATTAGAATATACTTACCAAACACTTGTCACATTGTATCATCAATCCTTCATCGTTGTACAACCCACAAAGACATCGAATAACCTCTTCTTCTTCGTCCTCCACTTTTTCTTTACAATCTAGACAACGAATAAAAAGAGATAAAACTGTTATCATGAGAACATTTAGAAAAGATATATACTACATTTCGTAACTTTTAGTGGATGAACCCATTCATTAAACAGTAGCGATTCTTTACCCAGAACTTAAAAAAAGTTCATTGACATAATGGTACAGGGAAGTGACACAGTAGCAATAATGACAGCGAGTGTAAACATACCTTTGTTTGAATCGCCATCTATTGAGCCTTCCCCAAGTATCTCCTCAATCTGATCGCTTGTTTCACATTTAGCCACCTGGAATGCCTTGCGTAGTTTAGCAATATCTTTAGTGAAATCAATCTTCTGACCATAGAATTTCTGTAAAATAATATTTTAAATGTAATTTGATGCATATTTGATCACCAAATCCAATTTAATTCATGTGTGGTCTGATCAATTGACAAACTATCAATGATGACAGAACATTTAGAAAATTCATATCGTCATGTACAAATAGAAATTCCAGTGCCAAACTATACAAACAATGATGATTGTGAATATATGACAGAAAATTTTACCTTTACCTTATGTATAAAAGAACATGTGGATTTTGTGAAACGTGGTGTTAGTTATCACCGGTAAATTTTGTTATTATGGAAACATAGCAAATTTGTTTACTCACAGAACCAAGTTCAGCGTTGGAGAAAACTCTCATGATGTCATCATCAAATGCATCCACAGTTTTATACTGCCCTGTCATGATGTTCTGTTCAACTGTATTGAGATCTATGGGATCCGATATCTTCTCATAGTAATCAGTATTCCTATAGAAAGTAATTATATTATGATTATAAAAAGTAAGATAACAATGTGATTTTACTTAATTTTCAACTCACTTGTCCGAAATACATGTTGCTTGTAATTCATTTGACAAAATGGCAATTTTATATGTCCCGGGCTTTAGAACTACCCATTCACTCAGCCAAGTCCTAAGATAATAATAATGTCATATCTCTGGGAAATCTCATTTTGGTCACAATAGTTTCATTCATAAGTTACCCTAAGATAATAATAATGTCATATCCCTGGGAAATCTCATTTTGGTCACAATAGTTTCATTCATAAGTTACCCTAAGATAATAATAATGCCATATCCCTGGGAAATCTCATTTTGGTCACAATAGTTTCATTCATAAGTTATTATGACATCTTAATTCAGTTAATATTTTTCTGGCCGTAACAATTTTAACATACTACTTGTTACACGTATAATATTGTTTGATTATAAACATGTGACTAATTTCACTACATGCCATGTTGGAATATACAAAGTAGTCTCAAACGGAATTTGTCGAAACTGTACCTTTTCTTTGATGGTAAATTCATAAGTGGTGTGGCTATGAGATGTCCATCTTGATCTTTAACTTCACAGATCGTTGTAAATATATCTTTAAACACTTGGGCTAATTTAGCAATTTTTGTAACTTCAATATTTTCTTCTGCTGCAGCTAGTCTCCGTGTTCTCACTGATCGTGACGTTTTCAGTGCGGTGAACTGAGCCATGAACACATCTGAGGAAAGAACAAATTCAAAGTTGGAAAAGTTGGAGCGCATGGATCGACAGTGTGATATTTCAAACATGTCCTCTGTAAGAAAGCACATGTATGCTAAATACCGGTGTATGGTGAGAATTGTTAGATACAACGACGAAGGTTAAGACTGTATTTGCATTGTCGGTATCAACAACAACAAAGTCATAGGCTAACACTGTATACATACCATAGCAATTTCATCTAAACAAAACAAGAATATTTACTTGCATTTTGTAAATTACATGGAGCCAATATAAAACATTATGCCATGATTAAGTGCTTTTGTTTTAGAAAATTATATTAAACTTTAGGAACAGTAAAAATGTCACTAGTGTTCTTAAGGCTTGGAAGTCCTAGTGACTTATGTGAAGTGTTCCTGTGAAAATTTTCAATATGTAAAAAATACTGACAGCAACAAATGTAACTCTCAATTATAAATGCAACACTGACTCACCGCGACCACTTTCTTTGAGCATTCCATTTGGCCCATTATTATTCTTGGCTTTCAGTAATCTTTCTTTCATTCGTTTGACTTTTTCAATGTTTCTTAGCAAGAAAATGTGGTTATCAGCCGCCATATTCATCTCTCTGACAGAGAGTGGTTTAGGCAGGTGGATTTGCTGAGGTTTCATTGGGCTCTCATCTCTCCTGTACTCCTGTAGAGACAATATTATTGAATTAACAAAGCTGATGTGATGACCAACACGCAATTTACTCAAAATTGTGGGTGGACACCAATCATGCTGCCATGAAAAATGAAAAATCAATGTCTCCAATGTTTATTGAAGTGTTCTCCCAAGGTCTCCTGTGTCCAATATATACAAAGAAAAGTGAATTTGACATCAATAACCTAGAACACATTCAGTGTTGGTGATCTGGAATACAGCTTTTATTTTATTTTATCGTTTTCAGTGCCAGATGCATAAAAAATGGAGATTATTGTGGTTAAGCTAGGGCAGAAGGCAGTAGAACTCCAAGTTTCTCTTACCCGTTTCTTGATAGTTTCTTTTGATTTTCGTTTATCTTGATCTTTAGGTGGTCTTCCAACTCTTTTCGTAGTCTTGCCTGATGCTGTCTTTTTGTCTTTCTTGAATGCGCCATTGACTCGTTGTTGAGCCTGTGATTTTCCACCAATAAAACCTCTACATTTATCACTACCACAACAGCACTCTTGCTGCAATAATAAAACAATCATAATGAGGGATATGAACAATCTAATTAATGCAAGGTGACCGAGACCATTATCAACGAGTGGGTGTGGTCAGGTGGGTAGGTTTGTAGGTAACACAGCATTGAGTGGGTGTGGTCAGGTGGGTAGGTTTGTAGGTAACACAGCATTGAGTGGGTTTGGTCGGGTGGGTAGGTTTGTAGGTAACACAGCATTGAGTGGGTGTGGTCAGGTGGGTAGGTTTGTAGGTAACACAGCATTGAGTGGGTGTGGTCGGGTGGGTAAGTTTGTAGGTAACACAGCATTGAGTGGGTGTGGTCGGGTGGGTAAGTTTGTAGGTAACACAGCATTGAGTGGGTTTGGTCAGGTGGGTAGGTTTGTAGGTAACACAGCATTGAGTGGGTTTGGTTGGGTGGGTAGGTTTGTATAGGTAACACAGCATTGAGTGGGTTTGGTCGGGTGGGTAGGTTTGTAGATAACACAGTAATGAGTGGATTTGGTCGGGTGGGTAGGTTTGTAAGTAGCACGGCAATGCTCATACAGTTACTGACGCAGATAACAATGGCGTTACTCGGAATATTATGCTATCGTAATCTTATTTATGTATTTTCAAAATGAGCTTTCAGTTGAGACAACAAATATTAGTATGAATGCATCATTGCAATCCACACTAAAAATTCTCCACAAAAAATAGTTGCGAACATTTTTCCCCAACGCATACTGTGAACAAGCATAAAATGGTGACATTGAACATGAATGTTATTGTTTGTTGAAACATAACATCAGGGATAATTCACAAGTGTTAATGGTATGCTCAGTCATATATAACTAACTACATCAATCCTTGACATTATGATTTATTAGTTATTAGTTAGAAATACATATTTTCTTATCTTGCACATTTATCTCTACAAAAACAGTGCCCAGCTAAACTTGTTAACATGTTTGATGTACGTTTTATTTAAGTGACATCAAGGTAGCCGTATATGAACAATGACCATACAACTTATGTACCTAATACAAACCACACCCTGACTTAGAAACCTTGAATTTATTTTAACAGTTACAATAATGTAACTGTACATATTCGTAGATCTCATCTAAGCGACGTCAAGCGTCAATGTATTTGAGGCAATCATCTTAATATGAAATGACCTGTGACACAACATTAATGCAATACATCATGTCTAAACATCTCTCTCTCTTATGACAATATGATTACAAATTGTGAATCACAGAAACCAATTACATTTATATGCACACAAATTAATTTAACAAATTTAAATAATATTTGATCTAAATCTGAATTCATTGACAAGATATCTCAAATGTTTGTTTAATATTACGATAACCGCCAGTCCGATCTCATTAACAAAATGAAATGTATGATCATGAGCGATTCCATAACTGTTTATTTCTTCCCTGAATAAGGCAATTAATATTAAACACTTCTTACTTTTCATTTGACAAGTTTCTTTACACTATTTCCAAGCTTGCTGCATTGTCAACATTGTTTTTCTAGGAGGGCCAACAAAATCAAGATCTAATTACAAGCTTTACGATGAAGGTTATACTGCTTTGTCTCACTATTTCTCAAAATGCAATATTAAACATAAATGTGGTAAACAGGTGTCCATCCCACGACCTTCTAATAAAGGTATATAAATAGGGGAAACTATTCTCAAAAATGACTAACTCCTGATAATTTATTGTACATGTACACTTTCGCCAGATTATCTCTATAGTAACTCGCCTCTTACCAGAACAGTAAATACTTCAAAACAAATGCATCTAAATAGCAAATGAACTGTTAGTACGATTAAAATAAATAAAATATTCTCAATATTTAGAAATCATATTAGATACCTGACTACTCTTTATTTTACAGCACTAACGTTTCTTTAATATGCAGTTACTCCAAATATTTTGTTTGAGATTGTCGTCTATTACGCTAGTAGTTTCGAATAAATAATACAATCACTTATTCATAAAGTTCAAGCTCTTTCATTAAATGACGTATCACCAAGATCACTGCCACGAAAATATCGCAAATATTACACAGCCCACTGGGTACTAAAACATCACACGAAAAACTACAATTTTCCAAAATCCAAACAGAGAAAATGTTATTTGTCAAGAAAAATATCATGACCATTGAAAAGATTTTTTTCTGCACTACTAATTATTAAGATTGTGAAATCCTACCCACAGGCTAACTGGCTAGCAAGTACTGACGTCATCAACATGCATTCATACGTCTTTATACAGCACAGCCTGACATCTAACAAGTAAGATAGCTATAATGGTTTGGCCTCTTCAAATTTTACCTTGTCATGTCTCAAAAAATAACAGAGCTGTTTTCAGATGAAGGAAAAACGAAGTTTTGATTGACCAGCATGGTTGAATGTAATCATTTCACTTCCTGTATTCAATTGGCAGTGTAATTTACCAACACTCGATGTTATTAAGAAGATGGGTTTCAGGAAATTGAGTCCTGTGATTTCTAAGCAGTTGTGCTACAGTTAAATCTCTGTCGCTAAGAGGTATACTGCTATTTCCTGGATAAACATAACCTTTGGCTTCACTTACTATTAAAACGGATATCACCATCTAACATAAAATCAAAATGTAGATTAAAATCTTTCATGAACATTAAAAAAAAAACAGTTTTGGGATATGAAAAGAAAGTTAACAGATAGGATAAATGTTTTAGTATATGCGATTAAATGTCAGAAAAAACATCAATCAAAATTTTAAATCATCAAATTTAAAAAACAATCTAATAAATAAAAGAGGACAGATAAAATTATTGATAATGTCATTATTTCAAAACAAGTAAAAACCTGAATAAACAATTTATTGACGTTGACGACATAGTCATTTTTCATATTAAAGGTAAATACCGAATTACTTCATCTCGTCTTGACCCAAACGCAATATTTAGATAAACGAAGGAGTAGATCAGTTTTCTATTTGCATAAAATAGTATACTGAGGAGTATCAACAGCAAAGGATACAGGTGAATGAAACAAACAAATTGTTGATTAGGTCAAAGTTTATATATCACAGTACAGTACAGTAATGGGGCAGTCTATAATAATAAATTGTTCATTTAATGCTGTGTTGTATTCACCAAGAATTGAATTCGTACTTAGCGGTAATAATTTAATTGAATTCATTAATTTTTTTTCGTTTACTACTTCACATAAATATAAAATTACGTTTAACACATTTGTTCTATTGCAGAAAATAAATACTCTTAAGAGTGCAACAAATAACAGGATTAGTTTGGCCCATTTCCAATACAACCCAAAGCGATACGGCTCAGGTTCACCTTCACAAGAAATGTGCTTTTAATCCAGTAATTTGCAAATGGTAATGTTTTAAGGTAGAGATGCAGTTTACCTGACAGTTATTTTAATTAGTTAATTAGGAAACCAAGATGACCTCCATTGTCCACAAAACTATATATTTTCGGAAAGCTTATTGTATGAATTTTAAAATTTTGTTAGTATTTTTTTTTATGGACACTGTAGTTTGGAATATGCACAAAAATGTGCTTTTTTGGTCAAAAGTGATTTAAAAAAAAATTAGCTTCTAAACCATGCTTCTGTTTTCTGTCAAAATTAGTTTCTGGGTACATCTGTTTACTATGAAGAAAGCGCCGTCTTGAAAACTGTCTACCAGTTGTCAATTTTGCAGGGCAGCAGCTCAAATTTCACTACTTCAAGTTTAAGCATAAATTAACACCCAGGCTAGTTGTCTGTACGATTGTTGTAACACTATTCAACCAAAAACAATGCCCCGACGGCGTTTTGAAGATAAACACATTGTCAATCATTTGTGAAAATTTCAAAACAAAAGGTCAAAGCGTCTAGGAG